TAAATTCATGTTTCGGGTCCCATTCCATGCATCGGGAGCCATGTTTCCATGTTTCGAGGCTGTTTTGCATCATATTTTGCTACTGAAATTTTCATGTTTGCATACTATGTTCCATGCCTTGCCATGCTTTGGTAGAGTGGCATTCGTGCCTTAGGTTCGGTCCTCAGTTTGCGTGCACGTGTGCACGCATTTCGAGTATCTCATTTTCATCTAATGGCCTCTTATGTGAGTGTGGCTGAGGTCCACTCATGTTGGTGTAAGTCCATTATGCATTGTGTATGCCATTTCATTTCATAGCATTGCGTATGCTAGGTTGTATGTTAGCGCATTGTGTATGCCATGTGTATCTCGTGCATTGTGTATGCCATTTCATAGCATTGTGCATGTTAGGTTGTATCTTAGTTGCATTCATGCATGTCATGCATACTGCATTGTGCTTGGGATAGGAGTTAGCTCGAGCACGGGAAACGAGGTGCGTTTCGTACTCCGAGTGACGGAACGTGTCTCAATTCTCAGTTACCGATACTCCGGATTACCCATGATGGAGTTTAGGTTTTGTTGTGTTTATATGTGCATTCATTTCATATTGAGTCGTGCAATTCGACTCCTCGGCCATCATGCATCGATATGCGTGATTGGTGACACGATGACCGAGGACTACACTCCCTGAAGAGTAGTCATGCATACATATGTGAAAATACTTTGCCATGCCCCTTTGTTGCTCTCTGTTGCAGCAAATCAGAAATCGACAGCCTTCCGGAGCTTGACACGCATTCCAAGAACAATTGCAAACAGAGGCAAACCGGGGCATCGCGAGGGATTCTCCGCACAAGGCAACCCGAGCATGCATCATTCATCATCCGGAGCGGAGTCGAGGCAGTCCCTAGCTTGCATGCTAGTTTACAGCTTTCTTAGTTAAATTTATAATTTAATTAGGATTTTGTAATTATTTGGACTGTAATATTTATTTGGGACTGTATATCATTTATTCGGACCCTCTGCGCGAAGCAATTTGTAATAAGTGCTCGTGTGTGATGTAGTCTTCCAACCCACGTCTTTCTCCCTTTTATTTACCCGTTATGATGGTTAGATTAGGGCATGTTTTAATTAGCATACAGTATGATAGCATGTTTGCATTCATTCATCTGTTTTGCATGCACCGGGGCTCGGCGCATCATACTAACTGCATTGTATTTTCAATTCCAAGTTGAATACATGTTAGCTGTAGCATTTCATATGCCATGTTTAAAATAGCCGAGCCTGCTATAGTTGGTATTTGCATGTGTTGCATTAGGCATTTCTGTATATTTAGGATCATGCATGATTTCTAATGTAGTTTCTGTTTTGGCTTGGAGTACTCGGTGAGTTTTTATGCTTTAGCATCCTTGCATGCGTGTGAGTGACTGCCATGAATAGCATGCTTACCATGAGGCTAATTGCTTATGTGATATAACTGCCTGAATGCCTGTGGGTGAAGGTTGGGTTATTTGGATTGGAACAATTCATTCACTGTGTGTTTTAAGCCCACTAGATAGTGGCAAAATCATGTTTTCTAAGCCCACCCGAGGGTGGCAAATCCACATCTTAGCCTACTTGCGGGTAGCACCACCAAACCATTTTCAAACAAACAAACATGAAATGCTTTGTTCCAATTCAAGCGATCCAGTCTATCTTGTATGTTGCGCGCATCACATAGTAAATCTAGGCTAATAACCGGAATAAGAACACATAATGTTTTCAAAAATAGATATCATGGTTAGTAGAGGCCGATCTTTGATCGGGCGAGCGAGGGTGCTCACGAAGTGACCTTCCCCAATCGTACCCAAGTTCCCGAGCCGAGGCAACTTTGGTAATGACGGACACGTGGCCTTAGGCAAACGAGTCTGGGTTTCCTAAATTTCCCCAAAATAAAATATTTAGGTGGCGACTCTGTATCTGGCAAAGCAGTCCATGTTTGGCACTTCTTTCAAAATCTGTTTTCTCAAAATGATTTGCCGGATTTGGACTCTTTGGTTCAGATTTAGAACCGTGACAATTTTAGAGTCCTGAACTGTAGTGAGCCCAATATCGAACGGAACGGGGGACTCGTTCCTCCCCGAGGTGTTCGGGGATGTCTACAGGTATGAGTTTCAAATAATGTATGTTGGATATTAATATATTGTTTGTAGACTCTAGAGTTTATCTCTAATGGATTGGAACAACATTGTTGTGCGTTTGTGGGCTCTTTAATTCCCTAACAACTGGTATCAAAGTTGATAGTAGACGATTTATGGGTGGGATCTCTTGGAGCATGGATGTTGTTGGCTTTGGGTTTGTACATAAACTCTCAATAGAGCCAAAATCCTTGGCAACTCTTGATGGAACAAAGAAAATTCTTGGTGCACGTGGCAAGGCTAGACTACGACAAGGTAGCTCTCAATGAAATATGGTGGCTCACAATGGAGTGTGTGTAAGTGGCCCAAGCTAGACTCAATGTTGCAGAGTTATAAATCAAGATTAAAAGGGAATGTATAATGATCTACAATAAACTTGCTAATGATAGATCAAGACTTGAGGGAGAGCATGAAGGGGTCCAATGTTTGGTTCACACATGAGGAGAGATTGATGGAGCATGTATAAAGGTAGAGTTTCATATTGGATAAAGAGTAAAAGAGATGAGTCTTAATATACATTAGATAGATTTTCAACTTATACGTTTAAGATTTTAAGTGGGTATGAGTTCAAAATAATAGGTTGAGCCGATATTATTGTGTGCTTGTAGGCTCCCTAATTTCCTAACATGCACACCCTCTCAAAAATTGATTTATGTCATCACTAAATGCTTCAAAAGGTGATTCATGCCATCTTATTTAAATAGATAAATTATAAATACACTCCCTGAGAATTGATTAAAATTTGAATCGTCCCATGTGATTCTGAAAATTATATTTCACCTCCTAAGATTTTTAATTTCATAACAAATTGTTCATTTTATTAAAAAATTATCAAGTCAGTTAACAGTTTTTAATGATATTAGAAATATATTTCAATTAATAATTTAGGCAATTTTATTATTGTATAAGAGAATAATTATGAATTTTATTTTTTTAATTAATCCTATTAAATAAAAAATTCTAATAAAAGAATATTTATAATTTTCGAAATTATAGAAGATAATCTATAATTTAAACAAATTTTAAGGGGTTCCCCTAACTCACCCCTCAAATAAAAGTATTGCTGCAGTTGCTCCCAAATGCAGGGATCGACTATTCATCCCCCAAAAATATAAAATTATTTTTTATTCAACCTTGAGCATCTCCATCCCCAAAAATATAAAATATAAAATAATTAAAAAATAATATTTTATTAGCATAGAGAAAGAATAAGATATTTGTTGGGGGAAATAGATGAAAAAATGATTCCTAAAATAGGAAATGAAAATTTTAATAATATTTTAGGATAAATTTTTATTTTATTTCGTTTTGAAGGCACGCCTGGACGTCTACCTGGTCCACCGCCTGGTTATCCGGTCGATCGATGGCCTTTCGCTGCAGAGAAGCTATCTTGCATGTTGTGCTCTTGCTTTTGTTTTTATTATTTTATTATTTTTATTTTTATTACTTTATTATTAAAAAAAATATTTAAATTTAAAAGTAATAAAAAATATTATTTTAATAAAATAGAAAAAAAATAGAAAGTCTGTTAAAAAAAGTAAATAAAAAAATAATTTTTAAAAATAAAAAATAAATTTTTTAATAATATTTTAAGATAAAATTTAAATAAATTGGTGGGAATGCACTAACACAATCAAATCCATGACCCTTGTTATACGGTGGAGACAGAACTAATCTGAAGATCGAGGTGGGCAAACCCTGACCACCTGAATTCTTGCTAATAAATAATAATCAAAGGATTAAAAAAAAATATAGTTTAAAATATACACAGTTCCTTTAAAAAGGAAAATTGTTATATATTTGGGATTTGATTATTTAGTGTATTTTTTACAAAATTTTACGAAAAAATATATTAAAAAAGTAAAAGAATCATATAAAGTGCACTTATTTATATCATTATTAAATAATCCAATTTCTTATGTTTTTTACTTACTCTTAAATGCAAGTGAATATGTCTCATATACTTTTATTAATGTGAGTTCTATTAATTTATATCTCAGAATAAAAAAAATAAAATTAAATATAACACTGCATTTTTAAAAAAAAATTGTTTAATTTATTGATAAAAATCAATCAAACAACTTAGGCTCTGTTTGAAAAGTCAAGTTTAGGTTTTGTTTTTTTGATTATTTTAGCCAAAGAAAATAGGTTTTTTAGTTTAATAAGACAAAATATTATATTCAACCCATAATCATTACATTTTTTCTATCACAAAAAAGTAAAAAAAAAAAGCTCTTTCTAAACAAGACTTTTTAACTCCAGACTAAAATAGTCAAAAAATAACCCACTTTCCAAACCAACCCTTAAATACAAATGTGAACACACCAGTTTTGTTAAGCGTAATGCTAGAAACACACACACACACGCATATATATATATATCCACAAGAATAATACTATATACATCATTTGATATATTAATTAGTATACTAATAAATGATGTGACATAATATTAGAAGTTTTGAATATTTATAATTTGTATAATGGATTAAATTAATAATAATGTAATAACACATGTTGGTATTCTAATTAAATATATCAATTAGTGTATGTAGTATCACCGTATTCACATTCATGTACAATGATATGATATGAGAGTTGGGCCCATCATTATTAACCAGTGTAACAAATTAAAAATTAACACATATTTCACCATGTTATTATCAATAAAATTATGAATATAATTTGTTAAGGTTTTAAATATTTTCCTTTGGTTAATGTGTAATTTAATTTTTAAAAATACATACAATTATTAAGGCAAAACGATCAAACGTTGTCGTTTGGTTTTTGTCTTGACATATTACTTTTATCTTGTCTGGATCCTAATAAATGCATTTCATGGAAGTTGTCTTCCTTCTGTCTTTGACAGTTCTATATCTAATGTCTGTGAATGTGTATGTATATATAAATATATAAATGTGTGTATCTATCTCTGCATGTTCAAGTTGATGACCTGACTCTCTTTTTCAGTTCTTTGAAATCTAGTGTTTGGGTTTGTTGAAAAAGTTCCAAATGACCTATCCCTGTTCTTTAGATTTTTGAATCTAGGGCTTGGGTCTGTAAAAAAATTCAAAAAAAACTCTTGATTATCCCTCAATGTTCTTCATGTAAAGGCCATTCTTGCTCGTCCAAACCTGAAAAAATTAGGGTTTTTTTTTAAAGAGAAACAATGAAGAAAACAAAGTTCGATACAGTTGTGTCAGTGAGTCGACACAGATCGATTCAAGTTTTGATGGGTGCATTGTTTCTGTATCTACTCTTGATGGGTTTAGAAATCCCTCTTGTGCTCAAAACTGGGTTAGGGTTTGGATCAGGAGACGGGTCTCTCTACGCACAGCTAATCAGGATCAATGAAGAAGACGAATCGACTCAGAGTGAAGGTTCAGATGTTGAAGAATCGTTTAGGGTTTCACAGAGATCGTTTGTCCGAACGCGACAGCACAAGAAAGTCTCGAGCTTGGTGTTCGACGAAAGTGCATTTGGTAACAACAGTGTGCTTCACAAGATGGCAATCAATGCTTTTGTGGTTGGGAAGAAGCTCTGGGAAGAGATTTCGTTGGGACAAGTTGGAGTTGAATTGGAAAACAAAGCAGAGAATTTGTCTGATTCGTGTATGCATTCGATTTCAATGTCGGGTGAAGAATTCAGGAATTCGAACCAAATTATGGTGATTCCGTGTGGATTGTCATTGGGATCACACATTACAGTCGTGGGGAAGCCACATTGGGCTCACCCCGAGTACCACCCGAAGATAGCATTGTTGAAAGAAGGAGATGATAGTGTGATGGTTTCTCAGTTTATGATGGAATTGCAGGGGTTGAAGACGGTGGATGGGGAGGACCCACCAAAGGTACTGCATTTCAATCCAAGGTTGAAGGGGGATTTCAGTGAGAGGCCGGTTATCGAGCAGAATACATGTTATAGGATGCAATGGGGGTCGTCGTTGAGGTGTGAAGGGTGGAAGTCTAAGGCGGACGAAGAAACGGGTATGTGTGAATTCATTGTAGCTCTGCATTTATCATTCTTCACGATGGTTGATTTGGTAGTTGTTACTAATGCAACATGAGTACAATGAGCTAATTTGGTGGAAAGTTTATATGAAAACTTTATGATGTAATTGGTTAAATATTGATCATCACCAATCCTTCATCAAATCTGATTTGATGAAAAAATTGCTAAAAGTGTGCTCCAACCATTTCATCAAATATGTATCAAATCAAGGGTGAGCATTTCTTTCACCAAATTAATGATGTACTAAATCCTTCACCATATTTCCAATAGTCATAATTGATGAAATTTTTTAAAAAAGAGTAAGGGTTGGAGATGGTTTTCTTTTTCTTTTTTTTTAAAAAAAAAAAAAAAAAAAAAAAAAAAAATTTGATGAAGAATGAGAGAGTAAGGATTAGAGTGTTCCATAGGAAGTGATTTTCGGCTTGTCATCTGATGGTAGATGTTTGACCTGAAATTGAAGTCACTGTTTATCTATGATGTTAGCTGAAACTTTCAGCTTTGGAGCAATTTGTAGTAGTTACCTAGTCTATTGTTTTCATTCCTTATACTTGCTTGGTCCAATGATTACTTGCTTCAAAAGATCCATATGATTTTTGCAAGTTTATATCCAGTGTCATTAATTCCTCAATTATAACATTTGGTTATTCAGATTGGCTCATTTTTTAAGGTCTTATGAAGTGGATGGACAGGTGAAATGTGAGAAATGGATTCGTGACGACGACGATCACTCAGAAGAGTCGAAGACTATATGGTGGTTGAACAGGCTGATAGGAAGGACCACAAAAGTGACAGTGGACTGGCCATATCCATTCGTAGAAGACAAGTTATTTGTTCTTAGCTTGAGTGCTGGCTTGGAAGGCTATCATATCAATGTAGATGGGAGGCATGTTACTTCTTTTCCTTATCGCACTGTGAGTATCCCCTCCTAAACGTGCTGGTATTGTGAAATCATGATGAACATGGATGGCCTCAAGATGCTTATGATCTTGACAGGGGTTCACTCTTGAGGATGCAACAGGACTATGTATAAAAGGGGATGTTGATTTGCATTCTATATTTGCTGGCTCGTTACCTACATCACATCCCAGCTTTGCTCCACAGAAGCATCTGGAGATGTTGACTAAATGGAAGGCCCCATCTCTTCCTGATTGGGATGTGAAGCTTTTTATAGGCATTCTTTCTGCGGGCAATCATTTTGCTGAGAGGATGGCTGCGAGGAAGTCCTGGATGCAGCATCCATTAATCAAATCTTTAAATGTTGTAGCTCGGTTTTTTGTAGCTCTGGTAAGGCTTGGTAAAGTCGCATGTATTATTTGCTGACAGACCTTTATGTGTAAAAAAACCTTAAGTTGTGGTTGCTTACTCGTCTAGGAACTTTTATTTTGACAGCATGGAAGAAAAGAAGTAAATGTAGAGCTAATGAAAGAAGCAGATTTTTTTGGGGACATTGTCATAGTGTCATACATGGACAATTATGACCTTGTTGTACTGAAGACGGTTGCAATCTGCGAATATGGGGTGGGTGGTTCTTTAAAATCCAGAGATGGCAACTTTTATTTTTCTTAGTGCTATTCATGTAAATCATTGATAACTGCATTTGGTTCAGGTTCGCAGTGTGGCCACGAACTATATTATGAAGTGTGATGATGACACATTTGTTAGGATAGATGCTGTCATCAAGGAAATGAAGAAAGTCCACAGTGGTGGAAGCCTGTATGTGGGCAACATGAATTACCACCACAAGCCCCTGCGTTATGGTAAATGGGCAGTGACGTATGAGGTATACTTTTGAACAGATACTTTCCCCTTGAATATGGTTCAAATTGCTGGTAAAAAGTGTAGGCTTTTCTATCTTCTTCTTCTTTATTATTATTATTATTATTATTATTTACAGCTTAAAATGAGATTTAAGTCCTATGGTCCTGATGTTGCTTTTATTTAATTTATTTGTTCTTGCATATATGAGACTGTAGTTTTATTTTTCCAGAACTGTAGTTTAAAAACAACGCTCAATTAGTACACATTAATGTGTGCTTGGAAGGAGAAATATTGGGTACACACCTAACCTTGACATAGTGCACAAAGTAGTTGTCCAAGACTTGAACCCATAACTTCAAGGTTATTAGGCCATTGAACCAATAATCACCCCTTTTTCCAGAACTGTAGTTTAGTATCTAGAATTTTTAAAATATTTGTATTTGTCTATTTATGTACTTTTCCTCGATGGATTCTGCATAGTTCTCATGTAGTTGAAAATTTCTTTGCTTTTCCACAGAGATGAATGTTGATTCAGGGCTGAAATAATACTTTCACCTGTCAGTTGTGCAAAAGATGATTTATTTGTAAAATTGGAGATGTTGGAAGTAGTGTTATTATTAAGTTATTGTTGTGGATTCAATCACTAGAGATTTGATGCTTCTTTATTTTCCTCTATGGCTGCAACTCCTGCAGTTTGGCCGGGCTAGGGGTAACTAGGCCCAACCCCGAGGCCTGCCAAAGGTCAATGCAAGCCCGGACAAAGCCAGACATGAAGCATGTGCTATTGCAACCCAAGCTGGACCGATCCATAATAGAACAGGTTCGGGCTAGACTCGTGTTGCCAGACAAATGCTTTGAAACGTAGATCGGCAGAAGTGGGAAATCTTCCTAGAGTGTGATGGTGTTCATTAAGCTCTAAATAAAGAAGGAAAAATAAACAAACAAAATAAAAACACGGGTCTTCCAAGGTTATGGTTCCACTCATGTACAGCAATATTCATATATGAATATGCATCATACATACCAATTTATAGTGCATATTTACACATATTTGTGTGCACAGACATTATTAATTCGGGCTCGGGTTGGTTTGGGTTGGTCAATATGTGAGAGTCCAGGCCTGGAACGATTTCACTTCGGGTAGGGATTTTCTTGGCTGTGCCCAATGTTTGAAACATACTTGCCCCCAGCCCATTAAAAAGTTGGATTGGGTTAGGGTTGTTTGGCTTCAGCCGGTTTGACCGCCCTAATTTCCTCATTTGTTTTTAAGCCATTGCCAATCAGTTGTGACATTTTATTACCCTGCTATCTATTGTACTGAAATTGGACGGGATCTTGCGACCCCATGAGATGTTTTCTGACACAGCTGAAGTTTGAATATTTGAGAATGCAGTCTGCTTCTTGTCCTTGTATGGAGGCTGAGAATTTTTCCTTAATAATGATCTCAATACATTCCTAGCCTTTAGCAGTTCAAACACAAAGGAAATTGTGTAGCGCCTAGATTTCTTCTCTTACATATGACTCTTGCTAAGCATTAAAACAACTGTTTTAATCAGAATTTTGTTCTTGTAACATCTCATATACCAATCTAACATATGGTTCTATCTTTGATCTGTAGTTTTTTTTTTTCCTCCTTCAATTCCTTCTCTGAAATTGCAGGAATGGCCAGAAGATTATTATCCACCCTATGCAAATGGGCCTGGTTACATAGTGTCATATGACATTGCACGTTACATTGTATCCGAGTTTGAAAAACACAAGTTGAGAGTATGTTCTCCCTTTCCTTGTCTACCAATGTGTGTTCTGGGGTTTGTGATTCGCTGAAGGCAATTGTATGATGTTATTGACGTGTATTTATTTGTCATGGTACAGTTGTTCAAGATGGAAGATGTGAGCATGGACATGTGGGTAGAACAGTTTAACCGTACCATGCTAGTTGAGTATGTGCACAGCGGAAATTCTGTCAGTTTGGTTGCATCAACAATTATTATACAGCGCATTATCAGTCTCCAAGACAGATGATATGCATGTGGAACAAATTGCAACAAGAAGGGAAAGCCCAGTGCTGCAACATGAGATGACCATGGTCATCATGATGGGTTAGCCTAAATATTTTAAGCTAGGATGGGGACAAGTTTTGCAGTCATAGCTTGTACATGTTAGTGTTGTTAACATTAGAATATTGGGGCTCTCTTCTGTTTACTTTTTTTAATCTATTCATTATTCAATTTTTTCTCTCTTTTCCTATTCTAAGGCCCCCACTTTTGGCTTGACCGGAAGATACTGGAGGAACAAGGTTGCTACTGGAAATAGTTTGGGAACAATCTTTAATGATTTGGGTTCTGTATCTAGAGTTGAAAAACAACAAAGCAAAAACAGAAATGATTATTTCTGTTTAATTTCTTTGATTTCAGAGTGAAATTTCACTACGAGAAATTTCAATGTGCAAAGTTAATAAAATATATTTTTTTTACACTAGAAATCTAAAATTGATTGTTGTTTGCAAAAATTAGGTGCTTAATTCTAAATTTATTACTAAAAACTGCAAATTGAAGGTTCCAAAACAACAAATTTTAAAAAAAATTTATATTAAATTAGTAAAATTTTACTGTATATGTAGTGAAATTTCTTTGACTTTGCACAGTGAAATTTTATTGTGCAAAATGAGTGAAAAATACTATTTGAACTCTAAACGATAAAGAAAAAAATTGAAGGTCAATTGTAATAGTTAGGTTCTTAATTCTAAGAAATTTCACTGGCTGACGCCAATGTAATTGTACAAGTCAAGTGAAATATCATAGGCATTAATCAGAAATTGATAGACTTGGCAAAATTTCATTAATTGAAGGTAGAACAATTACACAAGTTAGAGATTGAGTCAGTGAAATTTCATTGATTGGAACCAATGCAATTGCACTAGTTAATGAAATTCACTGACTAAATTCCAGCAACAATCTAAAATCAATGAACTTGGAAAAAAAAAAAAAACACACACAACTCAAATAACATAATCAAATCTTTATCAATCAATAACATATAAACCAACTAGATCGACAGTAGATGAATGTTGTTGGAGAGAGAAAGAAAGAGAGAGAGAGAGAGAGATATGAAGCAAACGATGGGATCAACTACATCTAAATTAGAGATGTGCGAACGGTAGTAAATGTTGGTTAACGGTAGAGTGAGTTGTATTGAACGACGGTGGAGCAATATTGATGGATATGACGATCGTAATGCCCTAAATTCCGGGCCGGTAATAAATTAAATAAACTTGAAATTTATAATTTCAGATAACTAATAACTTCAAATGTACAAATCATCTCAAAAAATAATTTACACAAATGTTTTCAAAATATAATTTATATAATTGTCTCTAAAAAATAATATAAATTGGTAGGCCCAAAATATCTAACTTAATAAATCCTTTTAAATGCTTTAAACCCAATCGCCACTAAATTTGTTTCGCACTTAAAAAATAAATTAACTCGACAAGTATACAATACGACAAGAATAACAATGTTCGGATAGAGAATAAAATGACAAGGATCCAACAAATTTACAACATCACACAAATGATTCGATTCGATAATCAAACAATTTATCGAATTATATAAACAAATCAATTTAACATATGATAATTTGCCCATGACTAAATATTCAATCATACTCAGTACATGACCAGTGACCGACCTCACTCACCTTATCCCAGCACAACCGCTTATCCGGACATATTGGTGTTGCTAATCAGTAGGGTCCACTCGATCCATGTACGGAGGATTTTCACGTCATTTAGTCAAGCAAATCAACATTTCAATAGAGAAGAACTTTACAGAATTTAATCAATTGAATAGAATAATCAAATGTATCAACCTAGAATGATTTTACAAAATTTATCAAATGATCAATATAACAAACGAAGTACAAATTAAAAGTAATTAAAATAAAACTCTTTGCGAAGAGATTTAGACAGAATATATTATATACCACTAAATTTACTTCAAAACAATTTCCTCTGTCACCAATACTTTAATCATCTGATATTTCACTATAGATTTTAAAAATGGTAGATTAAAACTAGGGGTGCAATTTGGGCGGGCTCAATCCGAGCTCAGTCCGAATTTTTTTAGGGTTTGAACAAAACATTTTTGAATTTGGTATGAGTTTAGACAAACCTGAATTAAATTTAGGTGGGCTTAGGCGAAGACATCAAATAATTCGAGCAACCTGAAACCCAAATTATATATAAATATATAAAAATATTAAATATATATATAAATTATTAGCCATTGGATAATATGAAAGCAATTTAAATCATTAGATCATATTTAATATATATTATATACATAAGTAACACAATATAAAATCTTCTTTTTTTTCCTTACTCATAAATTGTAAATATTACCATAACGACATCTTTCTTGTATTGTATAATTTTTTTATTTTGATATTATTAATGATTTTGTAAAAAAGAAGAAAATAGTTTAATTTTGACAAATTAATTAACTTAGTTGAACGAAAAAAAATAAAATTGAAATATTTTATATATAATTCGGGCAATTTGGGTTTAACTCGGATTCGGCTTGAGCAGACAATCTCGGGATACAATTTGGGCTTAGACAGGTCAGAGCAGCTGTCAGCATAACTTGAGTTAGGTTTGGATAACATCTCAATCCGTCTGAATCTGTCTGAGTTGCACCCCTAATTAAAACTCTAAAGCATAATATAGGTCAGGTTTAATAAAATTTACAGCTCTCCTATTAAATTAAATTGCTAACTCTCTCATTTTGGGAAGTGGGGTAAAAGTTACTTTCTAACTTTTAATCAACTTCTCTCTCTCACAAAAAAGTTAAAAAATAATTTTTAACTATCTTTCCAAAATACCTAAATATTTTCAAATTAAATCCCGCAAATGTGAGACTCCCACAAATCTAAATTATTTATGATGTGAATTTCATATATATATATATATATATGTTAGTGGGCTTTATATGAGTTAGGATTACTCTAAAAGTGTAGACATCATCTCGAAAAGGGTCTCAAACATTATAAATGGAAGGAAAAGTAACAAATAAAAAAGAATAAAAAAAATGAAAAGAAAATAAAGAAAGAAAGTAACAAATAAAAAAGAATAAAAAAAATGAAAAGAAAATAAAGAAAGAGACAAAGGAATGTGATGGGCATGGTCATGGCAGTGTTTTTTTTTTTTTTTTTTTTTCTTTTCTTTTCTTTGAACGTATGGCAGTGAGCTTGCTGCCCATGTTTTAATATACAAATATAGAATGGGACGGGCACGGGCACGGGCACGGGCACGGGCACGGGCACGGGCATGACAGTGAGCTTTTATTTGATCAGGTCATGATAGTGAGCTTGCTGCCCACGTTTTAATATATAACCACATATCATTACAAGAAAATGTATGTTTGGCGATTAAAATTAGCGACCAAATCAATTTTAGTCGCCAAAAACACCGCATTGAGTGACTAAAAATCAGCTTTAGTCGGCATTGATTGAACCTTTTTAGCTACTAAAGTATTTTAGTCGCCATATAGTATAATTGGCGACCAAATTTCCCTTTAGTCGCTGTTTGTTACCAATTTAGGCTACCAACATTTAATTTTGTCACCGTATAGTTTCATTTGCGACTAAACATTTTTGTCGCCTAAAAAAGGGCATTTTGTGATTACTTTTTGACGACCAAAGCTGGGTTAGTCATTGTATATTCAGTATTGCCGACGAACTTTTGAATTTAGTAGCCAAAGAGGCATCTTTAGGCGACCAATTGTTTGTCGCCGTTAAGGTTTTTTGGCGACAAATAGTCGTTTAGTCGCGAAATGTTCGAAATTTTTTTTAGAGGGAAAATAAGTAATTTTCGCGCCCAGTACATATATATTACACACAGAGTTTTTTGTTCTCTTTTGTCTCACACACCGACATCAACATACCAAACCCGTCCTTACCAAACCCATCGCTCACCACCGGCGATCATCACCATCGCAGGCCACCGGCTCTCACCACCACCACCACTACAAATCGGCGATCATCACCGTCGCAGGTATGTTTCTGTCGTCTCTCTCCCTCTCTGTCGATCTGGTTCTATCTGGTTGTCGATGTCTCTCCCATCCCCTTCTCTCACGATTAATTTTAGGGTTTGACATGTTTTTGTCCTTTCATTTTCCATTTATTTCGTACACAAATTTTTAGGGCTTTTCCTGATTTCGTGAATGGGTGTGGTTGAAATTGCGGATTGTCCATTTGGATTTTGGATTTGGATTCTTTTTGTATCGTTTAAATGTGCCTCTGTTTTGGTAAAAATGTTCCAAATCGGTTCGAAAGTATTCCAAATGTGCCTCTGTTTTTTTAACACAGTTGTTGATTTTGGATGCTTTTCCTGATTTAGTCTTATCATTATAAATGTACCTCTGTTTTTTGTATCGAAAATGTTCCGATGGTGTGACTCAAATTCGAATTAAGTAAAAGAATTTGTTTTTTTAAAAAAATCACAAATCGGTTCAACTCAATCCTAGTTCTTGACAGTTAGGTCCATGATTTTATAGTTATGATTTTAATTTGAAATTTAGTTCCATTTATTTAAAGATATATATATATATATATATATATATGTTATTTGTCATACACTTAATTATCTTATCAATATCACTTATATATTCATAAGTTTTTAACCCTCTTCTCTTGCAAATAAGTCCTTAACCCTCTTCTCCTACAAGTGTGTTCTTATATAATGATAAGACTAATTTTAAACAATTATT